CCCCACCCCAGAGCCCTCACCCCCACACTCCAACCCTCTGCTCTAGCCTGGAGCCCCCTCCCAAACACCGAACAAACCAATCAGCCCCACCCCACTAATTTTATGTGCCCCAATATGGAAATGATTTGTCACACATCACCTCCATGCTGGTGTCACATAACAAGATTCATTCCGCACACGAGTGGGGAAAATTAGAGGGACACTGGAACTTGGACTAGACACCTCCTGAGGTCTCTTCAACCCTAATCCTCGATGAGTCTGTGATGCTAAATTACAGAGAATAAGAAAATCAGATTGTAGCTGCATGGCAGCAGAATTCTATTCTGTGTGGATGCTTACACCAGGCTCATCCCCACAGTATGTGAGCACCTTTCAGTAGTGCTGTAAGCAACCTTCTGTCACGTTTGTTCTCTCATCATTTCCTGAGGGAGAAGTGTGTGCAGGGAAGAGTTCGGTTATGGTAGGTTTTGTTTGTGGCAGTAAGTACATGTGTTGATATATATTTATACTACAGAAGGCAAAGTCAAAGAAATGTGGCTTACATCTGGAGCAGAAGGTGGTCAGGTTGGTGATGGTCTTTAGCTCCTGGGGGAGTTCATTCCACTATCTGAGTCTGGCCAAGGCAGTTTTGTCTCCGCATAAATAAACGTTACCCTTACTGTAACCAGTTTCAACGTGCTAGAATTGCAAAGTTGTTGTATATGGTCTTCTTCATAGAGCTTTAGGAAGTGTTTTAAATAACCCGGGCCCAGGCCATGGAGCACCTTGAAGATAAGGACCAAGATCTTGAACATAATTTGATATTCTGGGGCAGGCAATGTAGGGAGCGGAGGACAGGCGTATGCTCACAGGAGCTCATGTTGCAGAGAAGATGCACTGCAGCGTTCTGTACTAGCTGAAGGTCCCTCGACACTGATGGTTTCGTGGCCAGGCAGATCACATTGCTGCAGCCCTGCTGAGGGGTGACAAAGCTGTGAGTAACTGAGGCCAGATTTTTGTCTGCCTGGAGGGAACAGCATCTCCTAGCCAAGGAGAGATGATTGAGAACGTTACTTGCAGATGCTGCTATGTGAGAGCTTAGTGTCAACAAGGAATCCAACATGCTCCTTGACTACGGCCTGAACTGACAAATTGTGGGGAATTAACTTAAATGTAGGTGCTGATCAGAGGATGTTCAGAGCTTCTTGAAAAATCATAAACCAATCCCATCCCAATGTGGGAACCTTATCCCAGCCTCTTGCTCTACATAACTCTGTCCCCAGAATGCGATTTTATTCTCTGCTTTATAATCTTTGCATATCCCCATTACACAGCCACTCCAGCCTGGCCTGACGCTCTGAGATTCAAGGGAATTGGCAAAGACGTTATTCACTTGGCCCTTCCCTCAGGGCACTTCAAGGATTTCTTGCTTGTGTGGATTCTCTGATGTTTCGAAAGGTGTGAGCTACACCGGTATGTTTTCCCACAGATCAGGCATTTATAGGGTTTCTCTCCTGTGTGTGTTCTCTGATGTACATTAAGGTCTGGGCGCCTCCTGAAGCTTTTCCCACAATCAGAGCATTTGAAGGGCTTCTCTCCTGTGTGTATCTTCCGATGACCGTTAAAGGTTGTGATGCTACTGAAGCTTTTCCCACACTCAGGGCATTTATAAGGTTTCTCTCCAGTGTGTTTTCTCTGATGTGTGGTAAAAGCTGAACTGTATCTGAAGCTTTTCCCACAGGTCAGACATGTATAGGGTTTTTCTCCTGTGTGGATTCTCTGGTGTTGATTTAAAAGTGACTTATCACTGAAGCTTTTCCCACAGGTCAGGCATTTATAGGGCTTTTCTCCCGTGTGGATTCTCTGGTGTCTAACAAGTTGTGAGGGCTGAACAAAGCTGATCCCACACTTGGGGCACATATAGGGCTTCTCTCCTGTGTGGATTCTCTGATGGATAATGAGTCCAGCAGTGTCAGAGAAGTGTTTCCCACAGTCAGGGCATTCATAGGGTCTCTCTCCCGTGTGCATTCTCTGATGTGAAACAAGGTGGTAGCCCTCCCTGAAGCTTTTCCCACACTCAGTGCATTTGAAGGGCTTCTCTCCTGTGTGCATCTTCTGATGCCTGTTAAAGTTTCCACTGCCACTGAATGTTTTTTGACACTCAGGACATTTATAAGGTTTCTCTCCAGTGTGTTTTCTCTGATGTGTAGCAAGGACTGAACTGTATCGGAAGCTTTTCCCACACATCAGACATGTATAGGGTGTTTCTCCTGTGTGGATTCTCTGATGGTTAATGAGCGTAGTACTCTGAGAAAAGCTTTTCCCACACTCAGCACATCTATAGGGTTTTTTCCCCTTGTGGATTGTCTGCTGCGTAAGATGGGCTGAACTCCCAGGTAAGCTTTTCCCAGAGTCACCAAACATACTGGGTCTGTCTCCAGTGGGGATTCTCTGCTGGGCAGTTTCTTTGATTTTTCCAACCCCTCTGCTCCGGTGAGCTGATTCACCCTGTCTCTGCCCTGGCTCTTTTCCTTGTTGCCCCTGTGGCCTGGGCTGGGCCTTACAAGTTTTTCCCATCCCTGGTCACTGGGAAATATTCACCTTGGATCTTCCCAAACTGTCCTATGTGGTTCCACCTGCTCAGGACTCCCGCTGAGGGTTCTCCTCCTTGGTCTCACTCACCGTCCCATCGCCTGCTGGGACAGAGAGATAATCCGGTTTGGAGTCACCCACTGAGATGTAGAAAAAAGGGGACATCACAAAGGGGAGCGGGAAAGGAGAAACAAACCAAACAACTGCCCCCAAATCCTTTCTCAGAGTAGAGAAAGAAGGGAACAATTCTGCCACCTCATTCCCATCTGAATATGGAGGAGAGTGTTTCTACATGGGCACACAGGATTGGTGAAAACTCAGGAGTGTCATTTGCCATGAGGGTGTAAAACACAGTTTCTGAGCCACTTTTGCCAATTCCTTACCTCTGTGGGCATCTCTCAGTATCTCTCTTTCCTCCTCTCCCTGGAGTCTGGGGCCCCACAGCTCCTCCCTTCACTCCAGCCAAGAGATCACATCAGGTCTGGAAACTGGAACTTCTACTTGGGGGTCAAGCAAACAAATGAGCAACATGAAGTTAGGGCCCAACAGTCAGTTATCTCAATAAATGGCCTGAGTTTCAAAAACGCTGAGCCTGCAACGCCGGGGTTCGGTTCTGAGTGTCCAGAGCTATTGATACCAGGCCACTTATTCCACTGCCTGACTATGGATTTGGAAATGTACGTTTAGGGTCCCGTAATTAAAGTTCCAGGCCTTGGTCGTTTGATTATAGCACAGACTCAGCCCCTGCCACCGGGAATAAATCTGTGAGACATTTTTAAACCTGACCAGAAACAGCGATTTAATAGTCAATGAGACAGCTCAGATGGCTAAAGACAAGCATGTGTGGAAGTGTTGGTAAAAATCAGATCCTAAATTAATAAACAAAACTTACCAAACGGAAGAAGAAATCGGTGTGTGTGCAGAATGGAGAGTTATTCAACCCTCAGAAAACACACACATCACAGAACGGCAACTAAAATTATTAGGGGTTGGGAACGGATCCCATATGAGGAGACATTAAAGAGGCTAGGACTTTTCAGCTTGGAAAAGAGGGGATATGATAGAGGTATATAAAATCATGAGTGATGTGGAGAAAGTAGATAAGGAAAAGTTATTTACTTATTCCCATAATACAAGAACTAGGGGCCACCAAATGAAATTAATGGGCAGCAGGATTAAAACAAATAAAAGGAAGTTCTTCTTCACACAGTGCACAGTCAACTTGTGGAACTCCTTGCCTGAGGAGGTTGTGAAGGCTAGGACTATAACAGCATTTAAAAGAGAACTGGATAAATTCATGCAGGTTAAGTCCATTAATGGCTATTAGCCAGGATGGGTAAGGAATGGTGTCCCTAGCCTCTGTCTGTCAGAGGATGGAGATGGATGGCAGGAGAGAGATCACTTGATCATTACCTGTTAGGTCCACTCCCTCTGGGGCACCTGGCATTGGCCACTGTCGGTAGACAGGATACTGGGCTAGATGGACCTTTGGTCTGACCCAGTATGGCCATTCTTATGTCATTCTTAACCAGAGCTGAGAGATAAGCATGTCTGACCTAGGAATTCTCGCCGTCTCAAATATAAAGATACCAGCCTAAATCCTTCTGCTACCAAATTAGTTCAAAAGTTGATAACACTTTTTCATTCTGGAGAGAGACTTTCTACCCTGAAGCTGAACATTGGCGCTGCCAGACTAGCTCAGACCCAAGGTCCATCTCATAATTTCAGCATTTTATAAACAACTGAAAAGGATAAAATTGTGCAGCCAAAGAGCAGAATCAAAGGTGCCTCTTTGGGGGATCCCTGTGACCCTGTCCCCAGGCAGTGCGTTCCCCCAGCAGCGCAGGGACCAGGCAAAGGCAGGAACTGGCTTTTCCTCTCCCTGCCCCTCCCCTTCTCCCCAGGACAGTCACTGCCCGGGGGGGCTCCAGGGAATGGGGCTAGGCGGGGCTGGGAGCCGGGAACCCCCCATTGCTCCTGCTGCCCCTGCCAGTCTCTGCCCCGGCTCCCTCCTGCCCCCTCGGGCTGGGAGCCGCGGGCCCTGGCCCGGCCCGGGGCGGTCGCTCTCCCGGGGCTGGCC